TCAGGACAGCAGACTGGGTCCTAGAGCCTTCCTTGAAAACCAGTCTACCAAAAAAAAAAGAAGCCTAGTGCAGGAAATATTCTGCCTCGTCAGTCATGAAAATCGAGCAATGGAAAGAGATGGCAAACCAAAGATAGTCTGGAACTATGACTTTCAGATGGATCGAGTTATTGAACACCGAAGACCAGATCTGTCTGTCCTCGCGACAATTGAAAATGAATGACATTATTTAATGGATGCGACCATGACTGCAGGCTAAGATATGGCATCAAAGCAAATAGAAAACATCAGCAACTTTTCTGAACTGAAGGTTGAGATTGCTAGATTGTGGAAATTGGCGAAAGAAAAACGTTAAAGTCATCCCAATAGTGACTGGAGCACTTGACTTCATCCCATTGAAATTTAAACATTATGTCAATCAACTAAGTGCAATATACACTTTGAGAACGCTACAGAAATCGGCTTTATTGGGTATGGCAAGCATACTTCGAAAAATACTGTGTGTCTGAGGTCCACGTTATTCCCTGGTACTTAAGACATGATACATTTTTAAAAAAATGCGTATCACGGTTAATAATGACCCATTCAAGGTCTCTTTTAAAAGGTATAAACTCAACTTCTGCTACACTTTATCCCATTGCAATCCCCAGCCCTAGGCCACATCTGGCCCGCGAAAGATTTCTGCCTGGCCCGCCAATTTAAAACCTTAGACACTAATTATCTAATTAATTTTTGGAGCAAGTAGCAGAAAATATCAGTTGGATTTAATTAACTTACAATGCGACGAATTTTGTAAATCAAAATTTAATACCGAATCCACTGCTGACTTTTACAAGAAATATGTTTTGCCAAGCGGAAAATAGAAAAGCCTATTGAATAACGCGAAAATGATGGCGTCATTATTTGGAAGTATATATGCTTGGGAACAACTTTTTTCAAAAATGAAATCTACTAAAAATCGCTTAAGAACAAGATTAGGTGATGACCACCCGGATGATGTTTCGTTCATCGTCAAATATACCCACCCTCGATTGTAGAAAAGTTATCGAACAATAAACAGAAGCAAATGTTTCCTTAAATAATTTACCATTTCAAACTGCATTTGGTTTGTAGTAAGGAATTTGCAATTTTTAGTGATTGCGTCAGTTGTTATCATGTAATTCCTGCAGTAAAATAAGGAACCTTGTTTAAATAATACAACGTTAACTTCGTCGTTTTTTCTTCAATTCTCCAGACCCTGTCAACTTTCTGGATGGAGCGGTCTGAGATCTTGACAATTTACATTTGATATCGTGGCCCTCCTCCGAGACACTGCATAGCTGTCTGGCCCGCTCTCTGTAAAAGTTTGCCAACCCCTGGTCTAGATAAGAGTCCTAGGCCTGTTAGAATTGCAGGAAGTAAAGAGGGCGTTACCGAGTAAGATACGATGACTCAAAACTCAAAATACAAGCAGAGCATCTTAGTTTGGTAAACACAAATTGTTGTCCTTCCGCCGTTTTCGATATTTATATTACACACACAGGAGCGCGCGCGCGCGCACGCACGCACACACACACACACACACACAGACACACACACACACACACACACACACACACAGTGGAAGTCCTCATATCCGAACTTCAGAGTGGTTCAGATATGAGAACGGGTTCGGATATAATGTAGCATGTGTAATATAAATATAACTTAATAAAATACAAGAATTTATCGCAATGTATGAAAAATTGTCTGACAAAAGTAAATATTAATTTGCAATGTTTAATGCTCAATAAATTTTATTATCAATTGTCTTTTTTATTTCTTTTCTCATTCGCTTATTTTTCGCGGTTCTAGTTTTTATAACGTGAGGCATTTCGGCAAATAACGTGCACTTAAACGTTCTGTACCAGTGAACAGAGATTTTTTTTCTCCGTAAATTTGATGACCTCATCAATAGCTTTCTCTTCTGAGTTCCGAACGGACATGACAATAAAGAATATTATTATTTGTGTATGTTATGTTACCTGCTTTGTATCCTGTAGAGTTGGGTCCAAACTAGGGTCCTTAGGCCCCTATAGGAGAATTGTCACTTTGTTTAGTATATTGGATGTTCCTAGTAGGGCGACATTCTGTGCAACTTGTATGTTGATGTTACCTGGGAGTAAAATTGTCCATTCCTTTTCTTACGATGCCCAGAGCTCCGATTACTATTGGTACGACAGTCTCAGTCTTCATTCCCCACATCATGTTAATCTCGATCTCCAGGTTCTTGTATTTGGACAATCTCTCGATAATTTTCATGGAGATGTTTCTCTCAGATGGTACTGCTATGTCAGTAAGCAAACACTTCCTGAATTGTATGTCTTTTATGATAATATCAGGTCTGTTGGCTTTTATTTTCCTGTCAGTTCTAATTGGCATGTCCCAGAGGATAGTTACATCGTTATTTTGGGTGACTGGTTGGTGCTCATACCATCTCTCAGTGATTTCGATTTTCTCCTTGTTTTTTTATTATTATTATTATTATTATAGCAGTGTATTCAGCGTCTTTCATTATACCTGTCCCTAACATGCTAACATTGTGGCCTGAATGATGTCAGATCAAGATAACTTGTTACCATAAATTCTGCACCGAATCACCTACCATTCTTAAATAAAGACAAAATAACATGAAATGTTCACAATTTCTTATTTATTTTCTTAATTATCTGCGAATTAATGCTGTTGATCTTTGTATTCGGGTTTCGTGATCTAACAATTTCGAATGAAGAGGAAATGAAGTAAAGAATTAAAACTCGAAGGAAATAACGTTCTATCTTTTTGAATGTCGCGGTTTCGACTTTTACTTCTATTAGCAAAATAAAAAAAATAGTCAAACACGTGAAACTTCAGTAATTTGTGCTTAGGTCACCTTGAGAACGACACCATATGCTTAACGACGTTTTCATCGTTCCTCAAGTCCACAAATACTTAAGTGTGTCCCTAGGAGTAAAGGCCCAATTTGAAAAAAAAAATCGTTATTCGTTTTTCATTTATTCTTTACTCCAAACAGAAAGAAAAAAAATCGGTCAATTCCTCAACTGTTTTATTCTCTAGCTGATCTCTAATAGAAATTTACAGCATGCTTGGAACTGAGTGTGTGTTTTTTTTTTCGAGAGAGGGGATATTTTTTAATGTTCGTCCAATGCAAAGCCCGTGAGTCTTTCAAGGTAGAGGGTTACTGAAGGAGATTGTTGTATGAGCAGTAAGAAATGCAGTTTATGGGAAAGATAACAGTTAGTCCGAGCCTTAAAGATGTTAAGATTGTTGTAGTCGGGAATGAATTCTCTCAGGAGTCTGTTCCACAAACTAGCGGTCCATGGAGAGAAGCTGTTCGAATGGCTCTTCGTCTTTACCAATGGAATACAAAGGGAATGAGAATGACTCGACTCGACCCTGCGTATTTGTCATGGTGGGTTCCTAGCTGTGAAGGCATGAACTGGTGGAACTAAGGAATGTAATTCGTCAGAACATTTTCCATAGAAATACCAATAGAGTAGCGAGTGTCTTGCGACATTTCGTCAGTTAGAAAAGGGGTTGTACAGCGGAAAATAATCCATGGCCCACAAGGCCGCGTAAACAATTTTGAACTGTATCAAAACAGAAAAGTAGGGACTGAGCAGATGCCTCAGCAACAGTTTTTAATTTTCAGTTTCATCTGACTCTTGTAAATCTAGAGGCGAGCAGGAAGATTATTTTTCCAGTATCTTTAACGATAGATCCATATGAGTTCCACTTGAGGTCTGGAGTGAACATTTATCCCAAATGGCATTCAAAACTGTTATTCATCTATCATTTCCAAATTCTGTAGAGCCTTGTTTTTTCCTAGAATGTTTAAGACATTTATTGTCAAGTGATGCGTTTGATTGCATGCAAAAAAAAAAAAAAGAATTACCCGTCTTTCCACAATAATGGCGTTGCAAAAAATGGTATTTTTTGGACTTATCTTGTCATAAATAAGAAACGTCATGTTAACAGTTCTTTAAGGCCTTGTGATTTCCTGTTGTTGTGTCAGTAGAAGCGATGTCTCAGCGTCCGGACTTCCTGAGGAATAAGAAGATATTTCTTCATTTGAAGAAGGCACTACAATCAAGGGTTCCAGATATTTTTTCCGAATGCAGTTTTTTGTACGTGCTACTCATTGATAGCCAACGTGAAAAAGAGAAGGAAAGATTCAAACATGGCGCGCAGAGGCCTTCTGATTTGTTTCTTTTCAGCTAGTTACATAGATCGTTGCAACAATTCCATGGGGCCCGTTCAAAAGGGATTTACTCCGAAAAGACTCGTAATAATTTCAATACTGTCTAATAAATATTTCATTGAAATACTGGGTACCTGGTAGCCACCCTATTCATCAGAAGTCTCTCGAATGTTCCTCAAACTAATTCTGGACAACTTGGTCAATTGCTGACATGATGCATTATCCTACTGGAATCACACTTTGTTGTTGGGTTACGTGGAGTCTCTGAATTGATGCAAATAGCCATGAAGCAGTGCAATGGAGCGGTCATCAGTCAATGAGCTGCTTAAATGGACCAGTGGATCCAACTCATGACACAAGAACACACGCCATGCCATTATAGAACAAATATGTATGGTGAAGATATATTTCACGGTCGAGTCTAAAAAACATAATTCTTTACCATTCCTGAACATCCTAATCCCTAAAAATCAAAATTCATTTCAAACTAGTAAATTTCGGAAACTAATAGCGGTCTATTTACTAATTTCATAAGTTTTATTCCTGAAATTTATAAAGTAGGCTTAGTCAAAACTCTTACAGACCGTTTATTGAAATTTTGATAAAAAAAATAAAAATACACGAGAAATTCTTCTATTGCGCCGTTAAATATTTGAACTTAACAACATTAACAAAATATTGCATTAACAATCCTAAGTATGAATACAGGTCATTATTTAAAGAAGTAAGAGGGTACAAATAAATATACTTAAAATTGACAAGATTTTCTATTTCACTGAAGCTGTCGTTAAACGCATGGGGACATTATCTTCCCTTTCTTACTCTCTCTCTCTCTCTCTCTCTCTCTCTCTCTATCTATCTATCTATCTATCTATCTATCTTATGTATGTTTTCTTTTCCTCACTAAAATCAAAAGCGAGGGAAGACGGAAGAAAATATATATATATATATATATATATATATATATATATATATATATATATATTATTCCCTCTTCCTCGCAATCAAAAACAGAATGGTCTATTATTTATCTGAGGCAATGGCAGTGCGTGACGTATGTAGTAATTAATTTACTAAGGAACAAGCAGATGTATAATATTATTTCATGGCTCTTCTCTCACACCTTTCTTGTATCTTCTCATTCACTCCCTTATCCTATTCAATCTTTGTTGTTTGTCCGTGTTTTATATATGTTATATAGATATGGATTAGTTTCATAAGGGAAAAACAAATATGACAAATGTGACTCAGTCTATAGATTATGAGGTTTTTTATTTTATTTTTCTCTTGTTTCAGAAAATCCGATGCTTAATATCTTACCTCTAAGCCAATGGTTCCCAAACCTTTTTCTCTGGAACGTATTTTCAGTACGAAAATTTTCCCACGCTTCACCAAAGGGAAGTCCCAGTGAAAAGATGCAAGCAGCCCTACAGCAAAGAAGGTCCAGTGAGAGATTTAAAGGGATATAACCTCAGATTCGAAATCAGAACATTATCATTGGTAACTCTCTCCTTCAATTTGAGGACCCTAGTTACTATATTCTTAATACTTGATATAATGCAAAAATATCACAATGATAAAATCGCTCAATAATTATTTATAATTATTTATACCGGGACTCATGCATGCAATATCAAATATTATTCCATAATAATATTTTTAATTTTGAAATCATATTTATTTTGGCATGTGAATTTTTGAAACTGTTTCTAAATCTTTGATGGTCTTTCAATCATTCTGCCTCACCTGCTATCCTCTTCCGCCGAGGCACACTGCGCTGTTTGGCAAATACTGCTCAAATTAAACAATTGTTTTTTCAAACAAAAAGAGTTAGAAACTGAAAGGTTTCTTTATGTTTATTTATGAAAAAGGCATGGATTTTTAAGCAAATGGTCAGTTAAGGAGTGAATTACGTCAGTAAGAAGTGAATCTATGATGGCTTGAAAACAACCGCGTACTATAGGACAGACATGTTTATCCCAGTTAAACAGTTCCATATTTTACATGTGTGTGTAAGTTTATGTGCTCATGCGCGTATTTTTATGTTTGCTCATGTTCGGATAGGTTGCGCATGCGTGCGTGAGCATACCTTTTTTTTTTTCAAAAAGGATGCCTTGTCTTGAAAATCTATTTCATCACGATAGTTATATAGCGATGGAGTAGGTTTACATATTTTAGCATACACTAATCGATGATATATATATATATATATATATATATATATATATATATATATATATATATATATACGCACGCGCGTGTCTGTGAAGATAAGTCGAACGGATCGACGGATTTTTATGGGAATATCGAGAAGTAGAAATCAAATAAGAATAATGATTTTTTTATTATATTTTATTTTAACTGTGTGTGTGTGTGTGTGTGCGTGTGTGTGTGTGTGTGCGAATATTGGAATGTATTATTAATAATTTCAGAGACGTAAAAGGAAAGAAAAAAAAAAGATTTTTCAGAAGACTATCCGGTCATTGAACAACCTAACGCTTCAGGATATTGTTAAAAAGCTTTCTTTCGTCTTTCGTGCAGATGGTTCATACCAGAAAAATATCGCGCCTTAGATGTCCGTTCTCAATCATTTAAAAAAAAAAATTCGATCTTTATCCATACACTCGCCCTCTCTCTATGTCCCTCTGCCTTCTTCCAACCTCCCCTCTCCATCTTTTCTTTATCTATCTCTCCTCCCACTGCTGCTAGTTCTCATTCCTTTCAATGGTAGCAGCAGCTGTTTGCAGTATTTTGAGACATAATGTATCAATGATAGAAACACAAAACGAATCCTGTTGGTCAATGTTTGCTCTGCAAACATCTTTAAGAAATAGTTCTTACTTTCTTCCTTTCTTTCTTCGCCATCTTTTCTTCATTTTTTTTTTTTTTTACTTGTCCGCCATCAACTTCGTTTAAAACTTGAACGCAGTCTCTAAAAGAGAAAAAAAAAGTTATATAAAAACAAAAGAAAAAAAATATCGGTCGGATGATCTACTTCACTGGTTAAGAGAAAAAAATGGAAACCAAGGAATCTAATTTCTTTGATTACACAGATTTCTAAGTTTTTTTTTCTTTTAATGAAAATATTTTATATCCTATTCTCATTACTGATATTTTCTCGCATTATTAATAAAAGTAGATTTGGTAGAAATGTAATTTTGCTGTTCATATATGGTCAATATGATTCAGAAATCATTATCATTATTAATTATTCTGTCTTTGTAACTTTCTTTTTACCAACTAGATCATTATTGGTCACCTTCTTCGCAATCTTAGCAAAATTAATAGTAGTGGTTCTATAACTTATATTATTACCATTTTAAAACTATTACTTTTAGGAGAACAATCATTTTACTAAGCATTTTGACCCTTGTTTAAAACTTTGGCAATTTGACCTTTCTTTCTATGTTGGAATTTTTACGAATATTTCGTTTATTTGTCAGGGGTGAAAGAATGATTAATTGTATCTTTTCCATTAGCAAGAATTCATTTTTCTTTCAGTATAACGTAATTCATTAGTTGAATCAATAAAAATTAATACTGCATGCATATCAGATTTTAACAGTGTATATTGTCCTCAGGGTATCGATAATAATAATAATAATAATAATAATAATAATAATAATAATAGTAATAATCTATATAAAATATCTGTGATCTCAGGATTTTTTATTAAAATGACCAGTGGTAATAGGTGCACTTGGAATTATAAAAATGGAACAAAACAACACATTGAAAGAATCCCTGAAACCCCAGCTTAAGAGACATACAGAAAATTGTCTTATTAAGCACACACACACTAAGGAGAACTTTGTCTATGTAACGCTACAACTTCATCGGAGATAAAAAAAAAAAAAAAAAAAAATTAAATTAACATGAAATGTGGCCATAACAACACACCACGACCTGCCTTAGGTCTTTCCGCAGACTTGGTAGGTAGTGTGTCATAGCAGAAATAATAATAATAATAATAATAATAATAATAATAATAATAATAATCTCCGGTTACGGAGATGGGATTACAATTCTATGGGACTACACAATACACACAGAACAACAATCAAGGCCAACCGCCCAGATATTGTTATTAAAGACCACAAACAAAAACGGTGCCTCCTTATTGATATGGCAGTCCCTGCTGACTGCAATGTATCTTTGAAGATCTTCAAAAGCTGTCAAAATACAAGGACCTTGAAATAGAAATCTCGAAAATGTGGCATATGGGAACATCAACAATCCCTGTTGTAGTTGGAGCCCTAGGACTGGTTGGAAAAGATTGCAGTAGACTAATTGAAGGGATTCCTGGAAGTCCATGCCTCAAGGAGATACAAAAAATTGTTCTGACAAGTACAGCCCACACTTTACGAAGGGCTTTATCTATGTAAACTTTTTTGTCAGTGGAAAGTGTCACGATGCCATTTCTAACCTTAGGTCCCTGGGCGAGACCCGGAAAGAAATGTGTAAACGCCAGAAATCAAAGAAAATAAAAATAATAATAATCTGACAAGATAAGCCTCTTCACGGTCTATATTCTGACTGTGCCAGAAAAGCCGATGCAAACAAACCCAGTATCCATCAGTGGTAATATAGTGAAAGGTTAAAAGCTGAAACCAAAGGTTTTATTCCTGCTGCACAGGACCAATGCTTGCTAACTAGAAATTACCAAACACACAAACTGAAAAATTATGTTAACCCGAAATGCAGATTCTGTGATAAATCTTCAGAAACAACTGACCATCATGTGTCATAGATTACGAAAGGCTTTATAAAATGTAAAATATGTTTCATCTTAGTTTGTTTTATTTTATTTATTTATTTTTGTTTATAAAGATATTCTGTGGAAAATGTTATAATGCCATTTCTGAGGTTAGGTCTCTGGTTGGGACCCTGAAGGAAATATGGGAGCACCCACTGAATATAAAACTCGGCATGATAGAGTGGACCAATATCTGCACTGGAAAATATGCAATTTTTACGGGAAGGAAATTGCAAGAAACTGGTATGAATATCACCCAGACCCAGTTACGAAGAAGGACCTGTAACAATTTTATGGGGCTACACATTACACACAAACAGAACAATCAAAGCTAATTGCCCAGACATCTTGATAAAAGACCACAAAAACAGAACAACATTTCTTATTGAGATGATAGTCTCTGCAAACTGTAATGTATCTTCAAAGATACATTACAAAAATATCGAAGTGGAAATCTAAAAAAATATGACACATAAAGTCATTAATAATTCCGTTTTTTGTTGGAGCCCTCGGATTGATTGGAAAAGGTTCCGATAGACTCATTGCAGGAATTCCTGGCAGCTGATGCCTTAAAGATGTACGAAAAATTGTACTCATAAGTACAACTTACATATTACGAAGTGCTTTATCTATATAAAATATCTGTGATCTCAGGATTTTTTTATTAAAATGATCAGTGGAAAATGTCATGAAGCCATTTCTGACTCTTGTTGAGACCCGGAAGGAAATGTGTATGCAACATAAATCCAAGGTGGGGAAGAAGAAGAAGAAGAAGAAGAAGAAGAAGAAGAAGAAGAAGAAGAAGGAGGAGGAGGAGGAGGAAGAAGAAGAAGAATAAGAAGGAGGAGGAGGAGGAAGAAGAAGAAGGAGGAGGAGGAAGAAGAAGAGAGGGCGTTATGGATGCAAGAACCAGCTAATTATCAATGAAACAATATTGGAAGAGAGGAAAACAAAGAAAAGAAACTTATTGCTAGAATGGATCGACTACAGAAAGGCGTTCGACAATTTACCACACACATGGATAGAGAAGAGCCTAAAAATATACAGAGTTTGCCAAGGATGACAACCAGCAGAAAAGACCTACTCACCAGTGCCAAAGCTTTCAGCGAAGACATTAGGATGGAGTTCAGAATCGGCAAATATGCCAGGACCACCTTCAAAGGCGATAGACTAACGAAAACTACAGATTTAGACCTTAATATCGACAACAAGATTAATGAACAAGACCAAAATCGCACATACAAAGACTTAGGAATTAATGAAGGAGATGGAATGCAACATTTAATTATGAAGAAAAAGATCCGAAAAGAATATTATAGGAGAGTGCGTTTGATTCTAGAAAGCGAACATAATGGGGCCAATAAAATGAAGGCTATCAACACCTTAGCTATACCCGTAGTAACATACAGCTTCAACATTATTAAATGGAAGTTGAATGACATTAAAAGATTGGACGCCAAGACCAGAAAAATGCTTACCCAAATGAGGATGTACCACCCGAAATGTTGATAGGATGTACGTACCAAGAGATTTAGGAGGTCGACACTATAAACTACAACAATTGGATTAGAATTTGCACTGGTTTGATTTGCAACGGGTTCAAGCAAGGTAGCGCGTTTTGACTTGCATCAGTTTCTTGAGTAGGGTGGCGAACGTTTGATTTGCATCAGGTTCTTGAGTAGGGTGGCGCACGTTCGATTTGCAGTAGGTTCTTGAGGAGCGTGGAGCAGGTTTGTTGACTTATCTAACTCGATGTTTGTTGTTTTCTACGGGGAGTTTAAGGGCGTGTATTCATGATTGGCGTCCAGAACCAAATTGTTAATGTGTGCGAAAACAAGTGAACACATTCCAGAAAATCTGTTCACGACACTTTCACATTATTATTATTATTATTATTATTATTATTATTATTATTATTATTATTATATTTCAATTTCTGCTACGGTTACAATACCTACCAAGTCTGCGGTAAGACCTAAGATAAGTAGTGGTGTATTGTTATGCCTACATTTCATGATTTTTTTTAACTCCCCTAACGTTACTAACGTTACATGGACAAAGTTCTTAGTGCATGGACTGTACTTATCAAGACAATTTGTTGTATTTCTCTTAAGCTGGGATTTGCAGGGATTTTTTACATTGTGCTGTTGTGTTCCTTTTTATCATTCCAAGAGCACCTACAATGTCTGGTACTATTCTTGTTTTCAATTTCCACATTTTTTCTATTTCGATTTCCAGGTCTTATACTTCGATAGTTTTTCAAATTCCTTGGTTGCTATGCTACAGTCCGATGAGCAAGCCATATCAATTAGTAGGCAAGTTTTTTCTTTTCGGTTTTTGACAGTTATGTCTATGTGCTTCAATCTTCCTGTCTGTAAAGATGGCGTAATCCCATAGAATTGTTGTGTCTTCTATTTCCGTAACCTGTGCTGGGTGATGTTCATACCAAAGTTAACATCTTTTCCACAGTGCTTTCACATTGTCCATGGTAGTATTCTTGTTTTCAATTTCCACATTTTTTCTACTTATTATTATTAAATTTAAAAATGCTTATGCCATAAATGTAACAATAATTATACTAATGGTAATGATCATTATTATTATTATTATTATTATTATTATTTCATTTGATTTCCGTTGTATCCTCATTTCCTTCCGGATCCCAACCAGAGACCGAAGGTCAGTAATGGCGTCATGATATTTTTAATTTGTGCAAAATAAAAATAAAAATAAAACAAATTTAGACAACACACATTTCACATAGATAAAGCTCTTCGGAATGTGCGAGCTGTGAGAACAACTTTTTTTAATTCCTTAAAGAAATGGGCTGCCAGGGATCCCCAAAATTAGTCTATCAGAATCTTTTTCAATCGAATCTACCGCGCTAACCACAATTGGAATTATGGATGTCCTCATGTGCCACATTTTTGAGATTTCCACTTCAAGATCCTTGTATCTTGGTATGTTTTGAAGAT